ACTCAGATCGCGTTAACACCGCCGATGTCATTACTGACTGTTCTCTTTGATCCCTCTCTATGCGTTTGTGCGATTACACAGTCGGAATCAACTACTCAAAATAACACGTCACCCACTGCCCTCTTCCCTGAACATGGCTTTACAGTTGTCTGGCTAGTTACATGGCCTTGATTTTGACCATTAACTTTGGTGACCACATAATATCCCATAAAGAAGAGAGGCCATCATTGAATCATCCTTTTCTTGGCAGCCCCCATTCCTCCCCCGTCCCCACATTCATCTTGTGGGCACCACGTTCAGTTCAGGCCACCACTCAGACCTTCCTGAAATCCAGGCCCTGCTTGCTTTCCTTCAGACCCACAACTCTGCTTTACCACGGCTTTTATGTTTTTTTCTGATTGTTCTCAAAGTTCCTTTTTTCTTCCAGTTGTACTGAGGTATAACTGACACAGAGCATTGTGTAAGTTGAAGATATAAACATGATTTGATATAGACGTATGCATTGTAAAAGAATCACCACAAAGTTATCTAACATCCATCACTTTGCGTGGTTACATATATATTTTTTCCTTTGTGATGAGAACTTTTAAGATCTACCCTCTTAGCAGCTTCCAAATATGCAGTATTGTTAACCATAGTCACCATGAACTTACTTACCTTATTACTGGAAGCTTGTACCTCTGACCCTCTTCCCCATCCCACCCCTCGTGCCACAAGCTGTGAAAGGTGTGGACGCTCTCACACACCTTCCTCCTGTGTGAACACAGCGGCTGCTGCCAAGTTAGCTAATGTCTGAATGAATGAGTGAAGTCTATCTTTCCTCCCTACCCAGGAGGACATGTCCACTGGGCCCTGTCAGCCCTTCCGATGTGGGAAAGATTGGTCAGGGGAGACAGGAGCTCTGGCTTTCTTCAGTGACATTTTGGCCACCTCTATATAGAAAGACTAACTAAAATGAGGAGTGATTTTTTTTTTTTTCAATATATGAAGTTTATTGTCAAATTGGTTTCCATACAACACCCAGTGCTCATCCCAACAGGTATCCTCCTCAATACCCATCACCCACCCTCCCCTCCCTCCCACCCCCCCCCCCCCATCAACCCTCAGTTCTCAGTTTTTAAGAGTCTCTTATGCTTTGGCTCTCTTCCACTCTAACCTCTTTTTATATGATTCCAATTTGCAGATAAAGTGCTGAGGCTCAGAAGGGACGTGGCCCACTCTGATCACAGACCTTAGGCCTCCTAAGCCCCTGTCCAGGTGCCTCTTTTTGTTTCCCAAACCACGGCTTCTCTGCAGATCCCTCACCTAGCTCAAGGCACAAATGAGCTAATGGTAGGCCCTAAGCTTCAGCCTTGGTTTCTTCTGGTTCCTGGGCGGACTTGGAGCCCTACTTCTGAACTTCAGTTACACACCTCGTTTGTCAGTATCTTCCCCTGGGTCTTGCTCCAACCTGCATCAGCCCCCTAGAACCACGATGATGAGGTCACAGTCCTCCCCTTGTCCCAGGTAGGAGCAGGTCTGCAATGGTGTAGATCTGCTTTCCTCCACTCAGCCACGCTGGCCTGGGGAGCTGCTTCCAGGATGTGAGCTGCCACTCTCCCCCGTCCTCCAGTGAGCTAGTAGGTTCTCTAAAACCTTCTGCCTTTTCTTCTTCCTGCATAAGCAAAGCTCACCAAATCCACTCCCCCCACCCAGATCAACAGAGGAGAAAGGGAGCCACCCCAGCAAGTCCACAAATACTGGCTTGTGTCTCACAAAGATACCATATTCCTGAGCGGTCTATTCTGCATAATATTTATCCTGTGAACCTATCATATGATGTCAGTGCATGGAGTTTCTCTTCCTAGACTGCCACGCCCTGCATGGCCTTCTTACCCTGAATATCTCCCAAGGGCACGGTGCCCTGAGCATTACAGGATCTCAACAAACATCTGCAGAGGGCGTGAATCCCACTGACAGGATGAAGGGGGTATCTACACTGGAATCACTGAAAACCCAACAGGCCCTATTTTTTTATGACTAGTTCTAAACAATCATATCAAAGCGCTTACATTGCTTCCAAGCTTAGTGCTGTGACAGAGGACACAGACCCTGATTTGGTAGTGAAATTATGGAAATCACACACTCCTATGGCACAAAGCAAGTCTTATTTTCTTAAGATACTCTGATAGGTATATCTGGGGATTGGCTATTTCATACTGCTATGGGTCTGCATGAAATGTACAAATGGAAGAAAGAGGGTGACGACTTACTCTAGAGGGGTGGAGGCACCCAAATCAATGTCTCCCAGCAGGTGGTGAATGGGCCCTTTCATCAGCTCCAATGGTAACTATATCATGGCAGGCCTTGGAAGAAAATGAATGCCTCCCATTTCTCCAAATGCCTCCAACTACAAGGTAGAATGGGATCAAACCACAGTGCCCGAGATGTTTGAGAGGCTGGGCTTTGCCCTGAACAGCTGCTCACTGGCAATTCTGGTCTTTCTCCACTGTCTACAAAGGGACTTGATATTTTTTACTTGGGACTCTCCTGCCCTACATTTATGCCATCTTCTAGTGTCCTGCAGTCGGTGCTGTGGCCACAGGACGGACAGCAGCTGTTTGGAGCTCTGCAGCTCCAGAGACTTGGCGGGCATAAGCTGGCAGGAAAGGAAGACCACAGGGCCTCTCTTCTTGGTCCCTTCCCCACTCACTCCTTCCCCACTCACTGCCACTTAAATATTCATTCATACTCTTCAGTCCCATCCACCCGTATACCAGACTGAGTCTCTCACACACATGGCTTCCCTGCATCCTGAAGTTTTCCTCCATAGCTCTCACCATGGTTGGTGACCATTTGTGCAACTGCGCAGGCTTTCACACACAGTTGTGCAAACTGTGCAACACACAAGTGGGTGAGGCCTGGAACCCAGGCTGCACTGCAGTGTCCCATGCACCTGCTGTACCTCAGCAGCTGTACAGTACGTATGGACTGAGTGAGCAGTTCCGGCAGGCCGGGACTCCGGGCTCCAAGCGTGGCCACTCTGAATCCCGACCGCAGGCTGACCAGTTCCCTCAGCTGGCAGACATGAGACTGCCTGGTGCCTGAGATGTAAATCGTACTGAAGCACGGGCTCACTGGGGGGGCCCAAAGTATACAGAAGGGATTAAAATTCAGCACAGTCAATGCTGTTAATGCACTTGGCAAAGCACCCGGGAGAGAAAAGCAGGAAGTGACGACAGAAAAAAAAGAAATTTAGAAGCCTTTGACCCAATTTCTCTGATCTGTTTCTTTCTTGAGCGGGGGGGAGAGGGGGGGAAGATGGGGTCAGACTAATCCAGATGAAATCTGATTTTTGCACCCCCCCCAACTTTAACGGAAAATTTGCACTTCACCTGATGCTGGAATATGAAAGAATAAAAATCCACTTACACGTGAAAAGTGGTATTAACCCTGGTTGAAAGCTTTTAATGCAGAGCAGCCTCTGAACTGT